GCTCGACCGGATTTTAGTTTTTCACTGTTAGACGCCGTTCACAATCAATACGAGCTCCTGCGACATGCCATAGGACCAGCCTTTTTGTATTCCTTTCCCCTCCCTCGGCCCGACGGCGCCGGCCCCGCGATCGCACAGGGCTGCGCCACAGCCCACAGGCACACCGGCACCGCAGGCGCCAGGCCCGGCACGCGAGACCCACTCGGCCTCGCCGCGAGCTGCGAGTTCACCTATCCTTCTAACGCCGCCCTGCTGTGACCGGCGAGCGGCGTCCCCAGATGCAATCGAGCAGCTTCGAGCAAGCCCGATTCATATCCAAGCTCGCGAGGGCCTCATACTAGGCAGGCTTGGCCCCTCTTTGTGGAGCGACTTTGACTTTGTGCGCCGCGCACGCCGCTTCCTACAGGGAGGCATACACAGCCACGCGTCGCTACAGGGAGGCATACACAGCCGCGTTCGTCCTTTGCCCCGTCCTCTCCTGCAAAGGGAGACAAACTAGGCAAGGACGGGAACCGATCGCCCAAACCCAACCGAGACACACCGGTCACGCGCACAGCTCAGCGTGCTCTAGGTCGACCCGCAAGACCAACGCGCTCCCAACCCACCCCCTCGCCCGGCTGACGCGGCCGGCCAATGATGGAGGGGAAGACGGCGCGCGGAGCGTCATCGCCAGCGTAGCCAGCCTTGCACATGCCCGAGACGTTGTCCGCAACAAGCGCCGCGACCTCCGCTCGTTGTCCGCCATATCTGTCTCGGGGTAGGTTGAGAGAGTGGCGGCTTGCTCGCGATGTCGGGCTTGCACCCATCCGCGCCCACATCCGTCTCTCGTGTCCGGCATCACGCGTGTTTAACCCGAGAGCGTAGAACGTCCCGGGCGGGGGGCCCAGCACTCTCCGCCCTTCCTCGATCGATTAGTCCACAATTCGTCGGCCCGCACGCAGCGACCCGCAGCGATGGATGCCGCCCCTACGGCCCCTAGGGCCTACGACCGACGCGCCGATGCACGACCGGCCTCCATCGGAGCTCGAACGGCTCTCCGGCTGCCGATCCGGCCGTCCGTGCAACCCCCAATCCGTTCCTCACGCTCGTCACAAGTTGCACATGTGCATGTCCATGCACATGTGCATGCACATGTCCGGCATTGCCATGCCAGTTTTGGTAACGTTCGCGAGCTGCACGTAGTACTTATTCTGAAAGAAATGCTGCCAGGCCACGATCGTGAGGAGCAGGTGCAGCGCTCGGAAGAGGAGCAAGCTGTACAGCCACGCTTCAGAAGGTGCAGGTGTACACCTTGTACCGACACAGAGGTAGGCGCGCAGCGCCCACACCCTCTACCTAGGTGTGTGAGTGAGTGCTATACCTTAAGCGCACCTTATACCGAGGTACCCTCCACATGTCCACACCGGTACCTGGGCGCTGGGGTACTCTCGAGACGTTCACACCGGCGGTGCGCGCCAATAAGTGCGCGCCAATAAGGTGTGCACCGCCCGTCGCGCGCGAAAACGCAACACACAGCTCTCATGGCGCCCAAGAAGCCCACCTCCACGCAGAACACGACGCTCCACAGACCCTGGGGGCATGGACGTGATCAAGCAGTACCCGCGGGCCCGCTGACAGTCTCGAGGGCCGTCAAGCTCCTAGCCGTCAAGTTCCCCTTGCAGCCAGGTGTCGACAGGTGGCTCAGTATATAGGAATTAGGATTAAAATAAAGAAAACGGACAACCCAAGGGATGGGATTCCTAACCAATAACGTTTTTTTTGCACAGTTTACATTACATGAAGAATCATTTTCCTGCTCCTCGCCTCTCTCCTCAGCCGCCGCCGCTCACCCTGTATGTGCTCCGCTCAGTACTGCAGACCCCCCTTCTGGAGAGACCTCGCTGCGCCGCGAGCCTCTGTCATTCGCCGCCGTCTGGGAAGAGTCCGGGTCATGGCACCGAGCGCGAGGGGCCGTGCGCGCCCGCTCCACCGCGGCTCTGCCACCAGCGCGTCCCCCCCCCCCCCCCCGGGCGCCGCTAGTCCGACCCGCGGCTCTTCTTTTGCCGCTTCTTTTCGGCGCGCCGCTCCTCCTTGTCGCGCCGCCTCGCCTCCTTGGCGCGCTGCCGCTCCTCGCGCGCCTGCTCGCGCTCGAGCTCGGCGAGGAGCGAGGCCCGCTCCGCCTCCTCCGCATCCCGCCGCGCCTGCCGCTCCGCCTTCTCCCGCTCCTGCGCCTCGCGGTCAAACGCAGAGCCGCCCACGTACGCTGACGAGATGCCGAGCGCCTCCTTGAGCGCGTTCGTCTCGCGCTCCTTGGAGGCGGCGTCGGCGTGCGTCTCGCCGGTGCGGCCCGAGGGGGCGGCGGCCGCGTCGCCCCGCCCGCCGCTCGCCGCCGCCGCGGGCAGCCGCGCAAGCAGCTGGCTGCGCAGCTCGCCGACGCGCCGCTCGACCTCGTCGTCCGGCACGCCCTGCCCCTCGAGCCCCTCCTGCAGCCGCAGGCACTTGGCCTCGACCTCGCGCTTCCGGTTGTGCAGCAGAATCTCCGGGTTGGCGCGCTTCGGCCGGTCTCCGGGCCGCTCCATGTTGTGGAGCCCGCCGGCGCCGCTGTCCTTGACGCCCGCCTTGAGCTGCGCCGACCGGGTCGCCGAGACGTGCGCCAGGTTGCGAGAGACGTAGCCGTTTGTGCCCGAGCCGCGCACGGTGGCGAGGCCGATGCCGTTGTACATGGCCACCACGAGAACAGCGCCGGAGGGTTCCAATCTCCTTGGGGTTGTGGGAGGGCTCTGAGATTGCGAAAAAAGAATCAGTCGGCCCGCAGCGCGCCAGGGCAGCCCGGGCCAGCAGCCCGCCAGCAGCAGTTGGCAGCAGCAGCGCCAGCCGCAGCGCCAGCAGCAGCGCCGGGCGAGCCAGCTTTGTCGTATTTTCCATGCTTCCCGCGACCGACTCGTGGATCTCTCGCGCCGACGCGTCGACCCGTGCCGGCGTGCTGCTCGGCAAGGCGGGCGGCTCCTGTGCGCGGGGCTGCACTAGCGGCGAGAAGCTGCACTGGTGGGGCAAGGGCGTCACCGACGAGGATTGCCTCTCCCTCGCAAAGGCGCTGTCGGCGCAGTCGGGCCGTGAGCTCAAGAACCTGCTGCTCGGTACCAACTCGGTGGGCGACGCATGCGTCCGCGCCCTCGCCAGCTCTGCCCGCGCCGGCCACCTCAAGGAGCTGCGTGCTCTCGGCCTCTCGGGCAACCGGATCACGGATGATGGGTGCGAGGCGTGGGCCGGCGCTTGGCGCGACGGCGGCGCGTCGCTGATCGACCTCTACCTCAGCCGGCAGCGCGGCGATGGGCTGACCGACCGCTGCGCCACCTCGCTCGCCGCCGCCATCGGCGCCGCCGGCGGGTCGCTGCGGCGGCTCTCGATGGGCGACAGCGGCCTCTCGATGAGCGGCTTGGCGGCGCTCCTCCAGGCGGCGGCGAGCGGGAGCAGCGCGCTGCGCGAGCTCTCGCTCAACAACAACAGTATCTGTGGCCGCCCCTCCCCCCCGGTCGTCGAAGCTCTCCGCCGCATTGCCGATTCGGCGGCAAGCTGCTCCGCCAACCGCAGCTGTGCCGGCCGGCAAAGGTCCCTCCGGCTCAGCATCCGGAAGCAGCACGGCTGCAAAGCCCTGGAGGAACAGGCGGCGGCAGCCGCGTGGCGCGCGCTGCAGACCGAGCTACCCAGTCTAGAGATCGCCTTCTGACCGGTTCGTGAGCGGCGTGACTCGCGACGATGCGAGCATGCGACTCTGGCGGCGTGGGCCGTGGGGCGTGGCGGGAGAATCGAGAAAAAATCTCGCGAGAGCGCACGAAGTCGCGGCCTCGGCCGCACAGCCGCCTGGAAATGGAGAGTGCAGAGTTGCAGAGCGGAAACTGTAAGCAGACACACCGCTTCTCAAGTAAAATCGCGAGACCGCTTCTCGCGAGACGAGAAGCGTCCGACGCGCGGGACACGGCGGTCGCGCGAGAGAGAGACGGACGGAGACCGCCCTGACCGGTGACCGCCAGACCGCGCGGCGCGCACGACTGCCGTTAACCCATCTCTACTAGTCTCCGGGGTTTTTTCCGGCCGCGCAACCGCGGAGGCCCGGGTATGTAGAAGGGCGGTGCTCAGAAGGTGTGGTGGCCGATGGCGAGGGCGGTGCAGAGGATGCCAAAGACTAGGAAAGGTTGCGCGGCGGCCTGGTACTTGACGTCGTTGGCCACGGGGTCCTGGATGAAGGTGAGCTGCGCAAACATCTGCGGCAGGACGAGGCCGAAGAGCACCGCCGCGTAGGTCGTCTCGCCGATCGCGTAGAGGTAGGCCGCCACGCCGAGCTGCGTGAGGTCGATCGAGGCGACGCAGATGTACTTTGCGGTGTCGATCCCAAAGGCGACGGGCAGCGAGTTCATCCCGAGGGCGCGGTCTCCCTCGATGGACTTGAAGTCATTGACGATGGCGATGCCGAGGCCGGCGATCGAGTAGAGCACCGTTAGCACGACCTCCTGCGGCGTGATCGTCGAGGCGGAGAACATCGCGTGCCCGCACAGCCACGGCAGCGCAATGTACGACGAGCCGAGCGCGTAGGTGCCGAGCCAACCCTCCGCCTTGAGCTTGAGGGGAGGCGCCTGCGAGGGCCAGCGGGCGGGCCGCCCCGTCGAGGGGAGGGGCGCAACGAACGAGGGGCGGCGGCGGCGGCGGGGAGGGTGGCGGCCGGGAGGGTGGCGGTGGGCGCGCACCGAGTAGATGTACGCCATCAGCGAGCCGAACGAGGCGATGAGGGTGATGACTGGCCAGTCGTTGGCGGCCCACGAGTCGAGGCGGGTCGCGAGGACCAGGCCGCCGATCAGCAGCGCCGCGATCTGCGAGTAGACCTCCGCCTCGGAGATTGCGCCCGACGGGATCGGCCGGTTCGGCTCGTTGATTGCGTCGAGCTCGCGGTCGTACCAATCGTTGATGGTCTGCGTGAAGCCGCACAGGATGGGGCCGGAGAGAAGCATGGCGCCGACCGCCTTGAGCGTGTCCTCGCCCACCACGCCCCACGAGTCTGTCGTCGGCGCGGCGCCAAAGAGGTTCCAGATGGCGTGGTAGTTGCCCGACGCCGCGGCGCCGCACGCCACGCCCCAGATGAGCGGGATCCAGGTCGCAGGCTTCATGAGCTGCAGCCGGATCTTCCAGTTGAGGAAGGATTTGCCGTCGTCGACCGACGCACCCTTCAGCCCGAGCAGCTGCCTCAGCCCGCCCGAACCGTCCTCCGCCTCGGCGTTGGTCTCAGCCGCAATCGGCTTGGTGGGCGGCTCCTTCATCAGGAGGCCCGCGGCGCGTGCTGGGCGGAGGGCGGGTGCACGAGCCACATGCAGGCCCTGCGCCGAGGCGAGCAAGGCAATGAAGCAGAGGTCTCGCATGGCTCCAACAAGCTGTTGGTTTTTGATTTTCTCTTTTCACCCTCGGCCAGTGGGGGTGCCCGTACCGCCTAGCTCCGCGGACGGGCCCCTCCACCCTTCACGTACGGATCATGTAGACCCCACAATCGCTGTCGTGGGATCTTGTCATGTGAGAGATTCGTTCGGCGATGTTTTCTTGCTTATTTCGGAAAGAATTCGGCGGCCGTGCCATCATGAAGGGCGCGCTTCTTCGAGCCGCTCCTGGGCTCGTGCGTCGCCTCGCGCTCGCGCGGCACACGCTTCGCCGTAGCCTCTGCGCCGACCCGTCGCCGCCGCCGCTGTCGATCGCCGAGCTCGTGCGCCGGAGGCGAGCCGCCGTCGCCGACGTGCAGCAGCGGCACGAGGCTGCTGGCGCGCCGGGCGACGGCGGCTCGGTGCACCCGTCGATTCGTCCGTTCCTCGCGGACGTCGAGCTCTACCTCACCGACGGATGGTTCAAGAAGTTCCCGTCGGGCGCCAGGCTACGCCGGCTGCAGCGTGACATCGCCTTCCGGATGCCGCTCACGCTATCCGACAGGCGAGCCGGCCAGCCTCCGAAGCTCGCCTCGGAGCACCTGCTGCCGCTGGTCGAGCTGCTCGCGGAGCGCGGCCTGTGCCGCGTTCACCGGCGACCCATCGAGTACCACGCGCCCGACGGTACGGAGCTCACTCACGACCACATCACCGTCCTTCCCCCAGAGGGCTACAAATCGAGTGCGGCACCAAAGGCAAAGCCGAAGAAGCCGCGGCGAAGACGTGGCCAGTTTTCGAGTGGTTGGTCTTAGTGGCTTAGTTTTGTGCGTGCACGTGTAAATCGACCGCGGTAGACCGGCACCGCGGCGCCGGTCTCGTGACAGGTGAAGGTGTAGCCCACCACCCCCATAGTACTGGTTGCGTAGTAGTCTAAGTTCTGAGCCTCGAGGCTGAGCGGGTCTAAGTGTGCACGTGCACACTGGGGTGCTTACGCCGTCTAAGATCGGCGGCAGCCCGCAAGTCTGGCCGTGGCACGGCCTGGGCGGCCAAGAGGCTCCCACCCCGCGCACCGTGATCAACGATACTCGATACGGCGCGCGTTGCCCCACAAATTTTCTTCGCCTGCGGCGGGCGCCTTCTAATCCGGATCGATCCTTCTCATGCTCAGCAATCGCCGCCTCAGCATCCTCCTATTCCGATTCTCGTTGCTCTTCTTGAGCGCAATCTTCAAGCCAAACAGTTCTCACAAATAGCCTCAAGCTCAAACAACGTCGCATGTATGTCAAGGAAGCCTGTGTATGCTGGTCCTCTTTAAACGATCCGCGCGTGAGGTAGCATAGGGCCTTGTTGGCAGCAGCCAGCTTGTTGCGCTGCTTCGTTGCGATGAGCTGATTGGGATCGCAGAAGTGCATGCCAAGCACCGCCACGATCTTGAAGCAGAACACATCGCAACCGCATCGTCCGCACTGCCATCGCCCCATCGGCATGCCGCGCCCGCCGCTTCGCCGCAGCCGCCTTAAGACACGCATTAGCGGCAGCACATGGTACGGTGCGCGTACTTGAGCAGGCGAGTTGCGGAGCGAGTGACGGATAAAGTCGTGTGAAAGAGCTGTGAACGCGAAAGTATCGATATTAATTGCCCGCCGCAGGCGAAGAAAATTTTCAGGGTTTTTGGTCCCCTACGCCAAAGAAGTCGAAGATTTCGGCGCGCCCGGCGCGGTATGGAGCACGCGCGCTGCCCGGCATGCCTGCAGCATCCAAACGAGACGCACGGCGTCGCTCAGCCGTGTCCACGCGGCTTCGCTCCTGTCCTAACCGGCGCCATCTGGGCGGCTGCTGCGGAGCTGCTGCCGGTGGTGCGGCAACTGGCCGACAGATACAACGCTCAGGGCACCCGCCGGCGATTCACTGGAAAGGAACGAAGGCGCCGCTGTCGGCGATTCACCGCCGCTCGTTCCCGTCTCTCAAGCTGGCTACACCGTCCATGGACGAGGGAGACGTCGCCTCCTCTTTCGTCCCGGGCACTGTTCGCGCCGGAAGGCACCGTACACTGCGAAGTACATTAGCCTTCATCCCTCCTACCGCCGGCCGGGAGTGCAGCCTTCGCCATCGCTGAGTGAGATTATCCTCGACTTTGGACCTGCGAAGTAATGAACAACATGCAGTACGTCATATGCAATGGCGCTATGACAGCCCTGCGATGGGCGTCCTCGACGCAGACGAGGCTGAGCTCATCTGCATGGCGCAGATCGCCGACTTTCTCTCTCTCCCTGCGCGAGTGGTTGCGCCACCGTGGATGAGGCATATGGGCTGGGCAGGGGAGTTGGGAGAGGAGGTTGACTGAGGGCGCGAGGCCGCCAATCGTCACAGTCTGCTGCTGACTGTCGGTCGCTGACTGGTTGCGCATCGCGCTGGCCGCGCAGCGGCCTTTAGAAAATTTTGGCCGCAAGCCTAGTTTTGGAGAAGATCAAATAATAAGCGCCGGTGAGGCTTTCAGAAGCTGCCGTTTGCGGCTTCCTAAGTCAATTTTTCGAGAGGAACGTTTTGGCTTAGCTATAACGGCTCCAAAGTCGCGCGATCATCGAGTTTTGAGTCAATAATTATGAAAGGAAGGGGCTGGCGAGAATTATAGCTAAGCCAATCGATTCAGCGTGCTCTGAAACGCCCAAAACCGTCGAGTTTTTCGCGGTAGGCAAAATAGAGCCCTTAATATTTGATCTTTCTTGGCCACGGCCACGATTACCCGTCACTCGCTCTGCGCGCCGCAAGTAGCGCACTGGCCCTGGGACAAGGCGATATGGCGTCGTGCGCGGCATATACGTTGGTCACTGCGTGTATGTACACGGCACCCGGCTATGGCATGGACCATGGTGTGTGGGAGCTGGGAGAGAAAAAATAGAGACGACAGTATCGGATATGCAGAAGTCCAATCTCCGTCGTGCAAACCCACGCCGGCAGGAGCGCGCACGAGCCGCGCAGACCGTCAACTCGACGTGCCCGCCGAGTTACCTCAGCTCTCCCTCGCCTTGCCACAGTTGCCGCTCTTCTTGCACCTCCGGCTGTACGACCCCGGCGGCTCCCACGCCCGCCAGTTTGTCAGCGCCTCTCCCTTTGTCGAGGTCATCCCTTCCGGCCCCGTCGTCCACTTCACGGAGCGATCCCAGGGCGCCCCGCCAATCACGCCTCCTGTCCACGGGACATGCGAAGGCGGGCCACCGCGGACGGCGCGGTGCTTGTTGCGGAACTCGTCGCTATAACTACCCCGCTGACCGAAGAGAGGTCGAGTAATGTCAGCCTGCCACTTGAGCCAGCACTCTCCAAAGGTGTGGTTCCAGCCCGTGTCGAGCCCCCAGCATATCGGCAAAGGGCAGAAAACCCAAGAGTTGCAGGGTTTCTCGCGATGGTTAGACGCGTGGCGGGAGCAAGCGTCGCAGCATTCCTGCGCTGACGCAGTCCGATGCTTGATGCCAAACACCACCGCTACGCCACCAGTGTCTGAATGGGGCTCCTCATTGCACACCTGTGCCGTCGTGACTCCCGGGCAGTCCTCTGGGCAAGAGGAGCCCGTCTCCGGGCCTGTGCATGAGCCGTCGCCGCAACACCGCTTGGATCGCCGAGCGTCACATAGGCGAGCCCGTGGTGTCGCGCGAATGGACGCGGCAACGGAGAGAGTGAGCAAAAGTGTGGGCCGTGTGGGCAGCGGCAGCATTACACCAGGGCGTTTGCCATAGGCGATTGTGGGCGGCGGGCGGGCTTTCGGGCGGAAGTTTGGGGTCTCGCTTACAGTGATCCACAGTATGCCCCCCGCGCGCTGCGACGCATATGGCGCATATGGGCGCTGATGTCAAGACGAGCGACGAGAGTGGCTTCGACCTCCCTGACATGCGCATGTCCACGGCAGAAGACATGGATGTGTTCGCCTCAGCGGTGCATGTCAGTGGTGTTTGGGTGGAGGAGGCTGATCCACAGGTGCTCCTGGGCACACGTGTGCCAGAGGCACGGCCGCTCACGGCGCGGGACGTGCTGCTGTGTGGCCGGCCATCTACTTCGAGGAGGATGCGCGTGATTCGAGGGCTGTGCTGCGGTGTGCTCCTGCTGGCCGTCGTGTTGGTTCCCGTGACTGTCCTCGTCATTCTCCCATCGGTCTACGACAGCGTCGATCTTGAGCTGTGCACGATCGATGCATGTTTTGCGGCAAGCGATGGAACTTGCGAGCCGTGCTCCGACGCTGAATGTGCGCGGCTGGTTGAGGAGCGCTCGGCGGAGAGCGGCGCGATCCGGCTGCGAATGCGCCTCTCCGTGCGCAACCCAGGACTTCTGCCACTAACCATCGCGGGCGCCGAATTTGTGATGATGTCGCCGTGCAGCTCTGTTGATGATTGCGGCCTGAGGGGACTGCTCAGGGCGGAGCCGCTTCAGGCTTTACAGCGCGGCGCCTTCCTCTCATGCTGGCAAGAGGGCGGCGCGACCATCAGCGGCTCGAGGTGGGGGGAGATGCAGATCTCGTGCGAGATGAGCAGCGGTGAAGGCCTGAACCGTGCCGTCTCTAACATGGTTGACGGACGCCACCCCTTTGACGACTTTTTTGCTGAGTGGGAGGTCGAGGGCAGCGTTCTCGGCGTCGATCGCACGCTCCACGAGACTACCGACGCCACAACGCTCTTCGACCAAGAGGACCTCTTCGGTGTCGCAGAAGGGGAGGAGGAGGCGCGCGCCCATTCGCTACGCAGCGGCTGCGTTGCCAGCCACCAGACGGGGCTCGCACAGCTCTACAACCTCGGCAACGCGAGCCTGTCCATGTGCCCGCTGGAGCGCACTCCCTACGATGTGCTTGGCGACCTGGGCGAGCACATCGCCGGCTGCCTCCCGCGGCTCTCCCTCTACCTGATCAGCGCTACCCTCGTCGACCCGCCGGAGGAGTGCACTCTGAGCGGCATCGTCGGCTTATTGGAGCAGGCGGCGCTACACGGTCGCGCGCAGGTGCACAATCCGACCCAGTTCGACATCGAGCTGCATGACGCCGCGTTTGAGCTTCAGACAGAGTCTGGCGAGCCGTTTGGCGCCGCGCACCTTGAGAGCGCGGCGCTGCCGCCACGCGCAACGAACGATTTGCCCTTCACGATCCCTCTAGCACCTTACCTCGGCGAGCTGCTCTCGCTCGACGAGGAGAACCAGAGCTTCGCTGAGACGGTGGAGGCGCTCATCAGCGGGATCAATACGCTGCTGACATCGATCGACACGCTCAAGGCCGGCGCCGTCCGACTCGAGGCGAGGGTGGCCATTGCGTTGCACGGCACGCAAATTGACCTGCCGCTCTCCGCGTCCGTCGATCTCACTGACACTCTCCCGGGCGGCAGTGGCGGCAGCGGTTCTCTAAACGGCGAGTGCAAGTGCGTCGTTGGGCCGAACGACAGGTGCACGAAGGGGCTCTGGGATGCATTGCAATCTCCACCGCCGCCGCGGTACTCGTATTCGCTGCCGCCGCCTCCCTCGCCGCCGCCATCGTGCCCGAGATGTAGCTGCGACGCCCCTGCATATTGGCCCTTCAGCGGCTGTGGCTTTCGCTGCGGTGCGAGGTGCGGCGACATTTGCTGCTCCACTTGAGCTTAAATATTTAGTTGACAGTTACACACACAGAGAGAGGTCAGAGACAGAGTCCAGCCTCTCCAGAGAAACTTTAGAGACAGAGTCGCCACGTCCAGCTCGCTTGCAGTCGAACTTACAGAGTAGCCGTGTAAAGCCGTACGGCCTACGGGAGAGAATGCGCACACACACAGTCACAGTACATACAGACGGCACACATACAGACGATATAAGGTAAGGTAAGGTAAGGTAAACTTCTCCACACACACGAGGTGGTGGGGCAAGGGGGGGCAACCCTCGCGTCTCCACGTCTAACGACAGGAGCCCCACGGCATTTAAAGTGCAAGGCCCGGTGCGCGTGGGTGAGCGGTGTGTGTGTGTGTGTGTGTGTGTGTGTGCGCACACAGACGATATCCAGATGGCAGATGGGGGTAAAAAATGGAGCGCAAGTCCCCGCCTTCGGTCTTTGTGCAGGGTTCCGATCCAACTCGTTAAACGTGACTCCAAACGAGTAAGTGACGCAATGGTCGCACAAAGAACCGTAAACCGAACACACGCCGCTGACAGCTCACTCGGTCCCGGCACACGCCCTGTAAGCCTGTGTATGACGGGAACGCACACGTGCGGCGCTGCGAACGCGCATTGATCACAAGCACTCACACCCCACCAGAGTCGGCCCGCCGCCGCCCATTGAACCCCTCCTCTCTCTCCTCACTGCCCTCATCGGCGACTGAGCTTCTTGGTGCGCATGTTTGTCGCCTCGAGCTGCGACGCGTTCCGGTCCGCCTTGCTGTCGATGGCGTCGAGCTGGCCAGACTGGAGCTTGAGCTCCTTGTTCATCGCGTCGGCCTGCAGCTTGAGGTCGCCCACGATGGACGAGATCTGGCTGAGCGCGTCGCACTCGTCCGTCACCGGCGCGGCGCTGCCGCCTCCGTACACCTGCTCCCGCCTCCAGCCGCTGCCTCCTGCAGCCTCGAGCTGCGCCTGGAGGGGAAGGGGCGGTGGGTGAGAGGCCCGCGGTGGCGGAGCGCGCGAAGCGAGGTGCGTCGGCGCCACTGCCGACTCCGCCGCCCGCTGAGCCTGCGGGAAGGGGCGAGGCGCGCACGTGCCGGTGAGTCCGTGCGGCCGTCTGGAGCAGCCGAGGTGCGGGCAACCGTGGTGCAGGGCGAGCGAGCCTCCTCGCTCTTGTCCTCCCCGCGCGGGTCGCGGTGCGCCACGGTCTTCCTGATCTCCTTGTTGGTCCCCGTGGCCTACGCGTTGGTCGCCGCCTCGCTCCCAGTGACTCCTCCCCTCCCCTTCTACTCCCTCCTCCGCCCAGCGGCTGCCCAGTTGACAAAGGTGCCCCGCCACGACTCCATGCCCCGCAGAAGCTTGTTCGAGGTCTGCAGGTTCTCCTCGACCTGAGGGGGGAGAGGGAGGGGGGGGGGGAGGGGAGGGGAGACGTCGCGCCCGCCCGCCGCGTGCAGAGACCTCGCGGCACGAGCCCGCGCCTTTTGCTGGTTCGCTGCGATCCCCTTGAGCTGCTCCCCCTGCATGTGAATGTCCCTAAGCGTCGCGGCGCCAACCTCGCGCGTCTGGTTGGCCATAGCCGTAGTGCGATGCAGCGAATCCTTGATTGCCGAGTCGTGGTCGTCGATCCGCTTCTGCAGCTGCTCGAGGCTCTCCTCCTCGGAGGGCGGCTTCCACGAGGTCGAAGGGCCGACGGCAGAGGAGCCGCCGTAGCCGCCGCCGCCCCAGGGGCTGGCGGATGCGCCTCCGCCCATCAGCTGGTCCTTATTCATCGCAAACTTCTTCATCGTGGCGCGGTTGTTTGGCCTGCTGTGGCAGCGACAGTCGCGCATCGGAGGACGGAGCGATGTTTTTGAGGCCGCGGTTCTGTTTTCGGAGGACATCGACGCGTGCTGCGATCGGGCGCGCGCGGGGGGGGGGGGGGGTGCGCGGTTGGGGCGTGTTTATCGGGATAAAGCACCTGTGCAGCAAGGACGACAGCGCTAGCCCGACTGCGGCAGCAAAATGTGTTTTCACAGCTTGTTATGAGAAGAAAATACGAAAGCGCTGGTTCGGGAGGAGAAGGGAGCACCCTCGGATGGGGGGGCGGGGAGGCCGAACGGAGGGGCCCTGAGGGGTGACGTCGAGTGAGGATGTACGTCGTGTGCGTGTCTGGTGTTTCTTAGCTCCGAGTAGAGGGGGCGTTTCGAGATTTTTAGCAATACCACAACTCTAACACTCACACGTCATTTGGGGCCTGGAGGCCTGTTCACGCGCGCGCGAGACGTGCAGACAGGGTTGCCAGGTGAGAGCGAATGGCGCGGTTCATTCACGCCTCGCACAACAGAGAGAGAGATGCGCTCTGCATGGTGGGACATAAAAGAAAGCGAGTACTTGGGCGAGTAGGCCGTGCGGTCAACGCTGCCGCGCGCGACTTTGCGCGCGAGGCGGCGCAGCTTGAGAACGGCGGTGGGCGAGAAGCCGCCGCCGAACGTCTCGTGGAGCAGCAGGTTGAAGTTGTTGCGCTTGACAAAGATCGCGTCGTGGTAGAATTTCTAGAAACCGCGATGCGTTTTGTTTTGCGTTCCGCGGCTAGGGGACACCCAAAAAGCGCAGAACCAACCCTCGCAGACCGTGTTTACTTTCGGCCCTTTCCCTGCGAACGCGCACCCCCAAAACTAGGGCTAGCCCGCAACCCAATACCGATCATCTGGCCCGCTGGGTGTGCTTCTTAGCCCCCGCCCGGCCCTTCGGATGTGAAGTGAAGGAGGCTGTACAGAATGCCGAGAGCTGAGCCCTGGTGTCGAGGTGTCGAGGCCCGGTGTCGAGGGTGTCGAGCTGCTGTCGAGGGATAGAGGTGTCGAGGCCTGTCGAGGCCTGTCACAGGCCTCTCGAGGCCTGTCGAGGCCTGTCGAGGCCTGTCGAGGCTGAAACCATGCTTGACCGTGTCGAGGGGTGTCGAGGGGTGTCGAGGGTGTCGAGGGTGTCGAGGGTGTCGAGGGTGTCGAGGGTGTCGAGCGGGTGTCGAGCGGGTGTCGAGTGTTGTCAAGAGGCGTCTGTCTGAGGTATCGAGGTGTCCAAGGTGGCAGGTGGATGCAGTTGCAGCCCATCAACATACAACAAAAGTTGGGCAGCAGTTGCAAAGCTGTTTCATCCCTTAGTTGCAGCCTCAGTTGCACCCTGTTGATGTAGCACAACCTGAGCACAACCAGTATACTCTCTGTGGACATTTGAGGACATCAAGTGCCGGGAGTCATTGCCACTGTGCACCAAGGTGCTGTGCAGGCGCAGCACCGCAGCAGCGTCGCTGCTGCAGCAGCGTCGCCGCTGCAGCGTCACCGGCGCACAAAGCGCAACTGACCACAGCGCTCATGGCACAAGGCTGGTGCCATGAGTCAGTGGACATTGCCACTGCACAAGGTGCTGTCCAAGCAGCTAACAAGGGCTACAGTACCCCATCGCAGCAGCGTCGCCGCCGCTGCCAGCGTCGCCGTTGCAGCGTCGCCAGTGCACAAAGCGCAATGGTCCAATGGACCACAGGTCCGCACTCATGGCACAAGCTCACTGGTGTGAGGATTCATTGCCACTGTACAAGGTGCTGTGCAGCACCTGAGGGCCACCTGTGAGTACTGCCATGGTTGCTACATTGGTCATTGCAGGGGTGCAACTGAGCTGCAACTTGAGCTAGAACTTAAGAGGCTGCTGCAACTGAGGGATGAAAGTACTGCCAGCCAAGTTTGATTGCTGCTGCAACCCTGATTTTCTAACTCTGTGACTCCAAATGGGTCTTCTCTACGTCTCTGCTGTGTTAGGATCATCAGAGGTGTCGAGGTGGTGTCGAGCGGTGTCGAGCGGTGTCGAGCGGTGTCGAGAGGTGTCGAGCGGTGTCGAGCGGTGTCGAGGGATGTCGAGGTGTCGAGTTTGGCACCTTGACACGGACGAGCATGGTCCCAGCCTAGATGGTGTCGAGGGGTGTCGAGGGGTGTCGAGGGGTGTCGAGTTGGTCGAGTTGGCATGGGGTGTCGAGGTGTCGAGTCGGTGTCGAGGTTTGGTGTCGAGGTGTCGAGGCCAGGGCTCAGGAGACGGCAAGCGGCACGAAGCTTGCCATCGACGGAGGCGGCCTCTTCACAATCCTCTCCTACCTCTTGCCGACCGATGTCAGCGGCACGCACCTCTCGGCAGCCTCTGGGACGAGAAGTACTCGTATCACACGGCCACGAGCACGACGACGACGTCGGCGGCGACCAGACGCCGAGGACCAAGTCATCTTCGGAGGTGCGTGCGGTACCGTGCTGCGTGCCGCTGTACCGTCGCGGGCAAAATCCCTGCCTCGTGTCGAACGTCTTATGACTTATGTTCCCCTTCTTTCACCGTATCAGGCAACTACAAGTTCAACTACCACACGCGACAAGGCGGTCGAGGGCCAGAGAGCGGCCCGTCACAGCGGCGAGCACGCACGTCTTCGCCGTCCTCGGCGCTACGGGCAAGTACGCTAAGTACAACGGTGGCTACGTGACGGTGAAGTACATGGAAGGGGTGATGCTCCGATAAACCCGCCGGATCTTCGACAAAAGCAGGGACATTTCTTTTTTTGGAAGGGTAGGTGTGAATACAGCTTTCTGGTAGGGTTACATCGACGAACTATGCGGCAATCGACTGGGGGGCAGCCCCCCAGCACATCCCGCACAGAGACCTGGATGTAACCCGATTGTGAGCGTGAGTGAAACCGCCGATGCGATTGCTCATTGCTCAGTCAGTGACCGACAGTCAGTCGCAGCAGACTTTGACGATTGGCGGCCTCGCGCCCTCAGTCGCCCTCCTCTACTAACGGCCCTGCCCCAGCCCAGATGCCTCATCCAGGGTGGTGCAACCACTCGCGCAGGGAGGGAGAGACAGTCGGCGATCTGCGCCGCGCAGATGAGCTCCGCCTCGTCTGCGTCGAGGACGTCCACCGCAGGGCTATCATAGCGCCATATGACGCACTGCCTGTTGTTCATTACTTCGCAGGTGCCAACGTCGAGGCAATCTCACTGGTGGCGGCTGCACTCCCGGCCGGCGGTAGGAGAGATGAAGGCTAATGTACTTGGCAGTGTACGGGGCCTTCCGGCGTGAACAGTGCCCCGGGACGAAAGAGGAGGCGACGTCTCTCTCGTCCACGAGCGCCTCGATGTGCGCATCGACGGTGTAACCAGCTTTGAGAGACGGGAACGAACGGCGGTGAATCGCCGACAGGTGCGCCTTCGTTCCTACCACCACTCCCACCACCGCCAGCTCCGCCGTGGACCTTGCCGGGCCCTCTGATGATGTAGTACCGTGGAGCAGTTCGTCCGAGCCGTTGTTGTACTCTGCTGTGGCGCCAGCTCGGTGTACAATACGGACGAAGACGGCCACAGCAACGGTGTAACCAGCGCGAGCAGGCAGCGCGAACCGCTGTGCCTCGACGCCGGCCGCCGAAATCCTCTCCGAGTTCTTTGGCATAGGGGAACCCCAACCCTAAATTTTCTTCGCCTGCGGCGGGCCATCACTTGGATTCGCTGCTTTCGGATTCATTAGCTCTTTCGCACGCCTTTATCCGTCACTCCCCCGAAGATTGGAGGTGTTGATTTATGCACAAATCTATGTGTTGCGAGCGCTAGATGGCGAAATTTTCTTCGCCTCCGGCGGGGCCGCTCGCCGCGGGGCAAGAGAGGGACTTTTGTCGATGTCGGCTAGAAGTGCTGCACCTTTTTGAGAATTTCACCCGAAGACCTGGCCCGCAAAGCGCAATGCCACGGTGTGCTGTGGCCACGATGACGCAATCTGATTCACCAGTCCAACAAACAAATCTCACAGGCACAGCCCACAACCCCACCACTCTCCACCACTCCTGCTCTCACACGCCTGGCGCACGCTCCACTGCCTGTCGCGCCGCCGGCTACGTCCGTGGCAGCGGCACCCTCTGCCACCGCCACGGCCCGTGCTCGCCCACCGCCGCGGGCTCGGTGCCGCCCGCGCCGTGCGTCATATCGCCCCGCGGCCGCGCAGTCTCGCGGTAGGCCACCCACACGCACGCCTCGCTCTTGCTCAGCAGCCACGCCGTCTGGGAGACCGTGCCGTACCACGAGGGCGCGTACCCGGGCGCGTGGCTCCCCACCGCGGCGGGCTCGGGGCCGGCGTGGTTGTCAAAGGGCGTGATGAAGGGCGCCGCTTGCAGCCGCCGCTCGGACCAGGCCGCGTGGTGCGAGTGCACGCCGCGCGCGGCCTCGGCCGCCTCTGCGGCGGCGCCGGCCAGCGCCGAGGTGCTCATGGCGGGCATCAGGAGCCGCAGCAGCTCCTCCGCGCCCGCCCTGCCGGCGCACTTTGGGCGCGCCCCCTCGAGCCGCCGCGCCACCTCCTGCTGCAGCCACGCCGCCTTTGGCCACGCCGCGTCGGAGCCCGCCGCCGACGCCGGGCCCGTCATCTGGCCGCTCGCGTCGTTGGTCTTGGTGAGGACGGCGGCGCGGCCCCTCTCGACCCGCAGCTCCGTCGTGCTCACTGCAAAGTCGCCCTCTGACGAGGGCGCGCAGGCGCTCAGCCGGAGCTCACTCGCCCCGTCGGCGCGGAGCGTGCCCCACAGCATGTTGAAGCAGGCGTACGCGTTGGAGTGCAGCGCCACCCACGCCTCGCCGAGCACGGCCCTGCGGACGAGGACGCCGCGCGACTCGAGAGGGCGGCCAGTCGGGCCGGCGCAGCGAACGTTGGTGAGGGCCGCGAGCGCTCCCGTGTGCGAGTTGATCGACATCCACGTGCCGCCCGCTTCGACGTCGGTCGCGTGTACGCAGCCGTCCTCGTGCGGCGCGACCGGCTCAGTCTCGCGGTCAAAGCGCTCGTCGCGGTTGAAGAGGAGAATCAGAGGGAAGTCAGGGTGGCTCTCGAGCGCGAGCGCGAGTATGCACATGGATGGAGTGAGCAAGGGAACGCCTCCTTGTCTCGACTAGTCCTCTGCGCGCACGTCCGCGGACGACAGCGTACCAGCCCACAGTGGCTAGGTCGTTCGGTGCGTCATGGCCATCGCCGCCCAGCCGGAAAAGAAGAATAATTCTATTTTTTTAAAGTGTTGCCCGGCCGCGGGTTGCTGCGCAAAAGCTTTTGTGTGCGCGCCAGTCCCGTGCAAAGTAAAAAAAGAAAGAACACGCGCAACCCAAAAAGAGTTCCTACGGGAATGTACGTAAGAGCTACATACACTGAGAGAGAGAGGGGGCCTAGAGAACACAACCCCCTCTCTCTTTTCTCCCAGTAAGCTAAAAAAGTACACTGAAAAAGATGAAGGAACGCGTCGGGACAGTGCGGAGCCCCGTTTCTCGTCATCACACAAGGCCCTCGTCGAACTCAGCGCCGCCTCCGACGCGAATGACGACTCTGTTCGCCCTCCTCGCGTCGTCCTGGTCGCGCTGCCGCGCTGTTCGTGCCGCACCGGTGCGGCATCAGCGCCTCCTCTCGCGCCGCTGCAGAGTCTTGGCGACTTTGCCGCAGCAGGAGTGGGTCGCCGGCCTCGCCTTTGACCTCGAGACGACCGGTCTCAATACGGACGAGGCGGAGATCGTCCAGTTTGCGTGCGTCGTGGCCAACTCGCGGAGAGAGGGCGGCGCCAGCTTCTGCGAGTTTGTGATGCCGCAATGCGAGATCGATCCGGGCGCCTCCGCGGTCACCGGCATCACCAAGCAGCTGCTGGCAGAGCGAGGTGCGCGGCCGTTCGCAGAGGTGTGGGCAACCTTCGAGGGCTGGCTCCGCGAGACGCTGGTCAGCGAGACGCGGCCGCTCGTCTGGTCGGCGCACAACGGCGACCGGTTTGACGTCCCGATCCTGCGGCGCTGCGTGCGCGATGCGACTGGCGGCCCTTCGCCGCTGCTCAGCGAGCCTCGGGCGGCCTTTGTCGACACGTTGCCGCTGGCGCGCGCCGCGCTGCGGCCCCGGCCGCGCTACACCCGGGGCGCACCCGGCCCCTTCACGCTCGGAGCCCTCTTCGAGCGAGCCTCTCCCCGCGGCGGCGCGCTGGAGGGCGCCCACGACGCGCTGGTCGACGCCGAGGCGCTGGCGCGGGTGTGGCGCTGGCTGATCGAGGAGCAGGGCGCCGACGCGGCCAGCGCGGCGTGGGCCGCCTCGGCGGCGACCGCGGGGCAGCCCTCCCTCGCGCCCTTCCAGGCGCACCTGCAGTACCGCGGCTACGGGCTCGAGCCCGCCACGAGGACCGCACCAGCAGCACCCTCCAGCAGCGGGGCGGGCGACGCGTCGCGGGCTGCTCGGCGGCCGTCGACCCCGCGCGGGGGCGGCGCAGATTCGCTCGAGCGCGTGGCTGGCATCGGGCCGGCGCTCTCGAAAAAGCTGAACAGCAAGGGCATCGGCACGTACGACGAGCTCGAGAGGGCGTGGGCGCAGCGCGGCCGCGACCACCGGAGGATGCTCGGCTGGCTGGTCAAGTCGATGCCGGGGACGAACCGGCTCGCCCTCGCAAAGGCGGTGCGGGGGATGGCGGCGGAGTGGCCGGTCTGAGTGGCGGGTCATCAAACAAGAGTAATGGACATCTCTGCGCAAGAACAGGAGAGTGTTGGGGTAGAGATAGTGTAGATTAACCCCTAAACGGCGTTCCTGTCAGTACTGACGCCCAGAATAGCCTCCCCTGGCTTAGCTAGACTGAGAGATATATTGTGCACAATGGTCTGTCTCTACAATGTATACACTGACACTTTACCTCCCAGAGCTCGTCTCGGTCCGCCACGGCCATCCTCAGCCTCCGGAGGGCCCCCGGCCGCGGCGCGGTGCGGCGGCGTCACAAATCCGACGTCAGTTCACCGGGACGCGATCGGGCGATCTGAAGTCCAACTAGGCGTATGGATTGTCCGCCCAGGGCTATCACCTGGACCCCTCAATGGACGCCTGCGGTGCCGCCCCCACGAGGTGTTGTTCACACCTGTCCAACCATTCTCGTGCAGCAGGAACGCGCTGTGTGTGGCTGGCAGCAAACTCAAATGACGACGGGTTGCAGCCTCGTAGCTCAACGGCAACATTATGCATGAGGAAGGCTGATAGAAGTATCACCAGCCACACAACCAACAGCTTCTGGAGAGTATGCGGAGCGCAAGCAGCCGGTGATCAAAGGCGTGTTGCTGTCGGTGGCAGATTGCCAGAGGGACGCCGGCGCCTCGGTGCGTGGCTTCGTCACAATTTTCCACCGCTCAACTTGGAGGCAGTGTGTCTAGTAGCGTGCTACACCTATGACGGCGGACCTCACTGGGGCGCCGACGTGCGACGACCGTCTGGGATCGAAAGACGAAACCGCGTCCCAGGAGCTCGTGCAGAGCGCGCTCCGGAGCTCGGTGGCGGGAAATTTGAAGGGAACGTGGTGGCTTCCCACCGCCTCTGTATGTGCCCAATAAAGTGCTAACACGACCCTCGGGCAGCAGGGGGTATGTGGCGAGCGCACGGAGGCACAGTTAGGCCGCCGTGATATCGCCCTTCCGGGCACCCCGTTTCGGTAGCCGTTTAGGGGTTAAGACTGGAGATCCGCGGATCTCTCACACGGACACGCCCAAGTCTCGCCAGTAGATCCCTCCATGCGCGCCTGCTCAGTATGCTCTCGGCCTGAGCCCTGGCCTCGACACCTCGACACCAAACCTCGACACCGACTCGACACCTCGACAACCCATGCCAACTCGACAAACTCGACACCCCTCGACACCCCTCGACACCCCTCGACACCCCTCGACACCCCTCGACACCCCTCGACACCCCTCGACAGTCGACACCCCTCGACACCATCTAGGCTGAAACCATGCTCGTCCGTGTCAAGGTGCCAAACTCGACACCTCGACACCCCTCGACACCCCTCGACACCCCTCTCGACACCGCTCGACACCGCTCGACACCGCTCGACACCGCTCGACACCGCTCGACACCTCTGATGATCCTAACACAGCAGAGACGTAGACCCATTGGAGTCACAGAGTTAGAAATCAGGGTTGCAGCAGCAATTAAACTTGGCTGGCAGTACTTTCATCCCTGAGTTGCAGCCTCTCAAGTTCTAGCTCAAGTTGCAGCGCAGTTGTGCACCCCTGTTGATGCAGCAAACATGGCAGTACTCAGGTAGCCCTAAGGTGCTGCACAGCACCTTGTACAGTGGCAATGAATCCTCACACCAGTGAGCTTGTGCCATGAGTGCGGACCTGTGGTCCATTGGACCATTGCGCTTTGTGCACTGGCGACGCTGCAACGGCGACGCTGGCAGCGGCGGCGACGCTGCTGCGATGGGGTACTGTAGCCCTTGTTAGCTGCTTGGACAGCACCTTGTGCAGTGGCAATGTCCACTGACTCATGGCACCAGCCTGTGCCATGAGCGCTGTGGTCAGTTGCACCGGCGACGCTGCTGCATGGGGTGTGCTGTAGCCTTAGGTGCTGCGCCTGCACAGCACCTTGTGCAGTGGCAATGACTCCTGGCACTAGTGAGCTTGATGTCCTCAAATGTCCACAGAGTATACTGTGGTTGTGCTCACAGGTTGTGCTACATCAACAGGGGTGCAACTTTGAGAGGCTGCAACTAAGGGATTTGGCCTTTGCAGCTGCGGCCCAAGTTTTGTTATGGGCTGCAACTGCATCCTGCCACCTTGGATACCTCGACACCTTAGACGCTAAACACCTTGACAACACTCGACACCCGCTCGACACGCTCGACACGCTCGACACCCTCGACACCCTCGACACCACTCCTCGACACCTCGACACGGACAAGCATGGTCCCAGCCTAGACAGGCCTCGACAGGCCTCGACAGGCCTCGAGAGGCCTCGACAGGCCTCGACACCTCTATCCCTCGACAGCAGCTCGACACCCTCGACACAGGGCCTCGACACCTCGACACCAGGGCTCAGGCCGTCTCCGGGTGAAGGGACATATGGACGTCTTCAGGACACCTTCTGCTTGGTCCTCACACCGCACGTCGTGTCGTTGATGTCCAGGTCAAAGTGGTAGGCGAGGGACGTGCAATCGACGAGCTCGGGCTCGGGCTCGGGCCCGGCCGAAGCGAAGCCAACGGTACCACCGATGAAAGACGCGGCGAGAAGAATGCGAAGCCTCATCTGCGAGCGTGGTGCGTGGACAGAATGTGAGACGCCTGCTCCACAAGCCCTCCCGCCCCTCTCGCGCCACTCCCCGGCCGCTCGCCGCCCCCGTCGTGCAAGCCTCAACGACGCCGTCCACTTTACGCCAGCCGCAACCGTCTACGTCGACGCCTCCATGACGATCGGCCGTCGATCCCGAAGGGTCGTCGGTTGAGCTAGGGAGCCTGGCGATGGACGCCACCGCGACCCCTCGTGGCATCTCTCTCGCCGTCGGCGAGCCGGGGGCTCGCAGACGGCCGACTTTCTATATGACCAGTAGGACAGCCGTGAGTGTGAATCGGATAAGGAGTTTGCGTCCGTCCACCGTCTTCGTGGACGTCTGTCCTCGTGACACCCACACCCCACACGGCCTGTTTTGCTTGTCATATAGCCATTCTACGAAAGCGCTCAAGCTCGCGTACGAGCTCCTCCGCGAGCGCGACGAGGAGGACCTCGAGCTTGCGATTGAGGAGGACGAGGCGGGCAACCCAATTGTCAAGTTTGCCCACCATTCGAACCGACGGTTCTCGGACAAGGTGGCGCGGGACACGAGCGATGTCACGGGCGCTACCATCACAGACATCGACTGCATCTTCGGCTGGAACGAGCAGGAGCGAGAGAGGTCGATGCAGCAGCACTACGCCGGCCTCGATCTCGCCTCGCGCATCGAGCGGCTCGCGCGAGTGACTATGATGGTGTAGTGGCTGAGGGGCTGGGGCAGGGCTCGAGATCATGTTCTACGATGGATGGCGATGGGGGTTGGTCCTGCAACGGTGTCTCGTGCGGAGCAGTGGTGTGCTGTCGCGCGAGGGTTGCAGGCGTGAGGGTCGAGGGTACCTTTTCCCCCCTTTGCTATTAACAATGCTTTGGAATCTATGAACATGACCTCGAGTGGAGCCCCAGTCCTCGACAGGCTCATGACGATCGGCCGTCGATCCCGAAGGGTCGTCGGTTGAGCTAGGGAGCCTGGCGATGGACGCCACCGCGACCCCTCGTGGCATCTCTCTCGCCGTCGGCGAGCCGGGGGCTCGCAGACGGCCGACTTTCTATATGACCAGTAGGACAGCCGTGAGTGTGAATCGGATAAGGAGTTTGCGTCCGTCCACCGTCTTCGTGGACGTCTGTCCTCGTGACACCCACACCCCACACGGCCTGTTTTGCTTCCCCACCCACCCTCCCTATTTTGTGTGCGCTGTCGCGTTTTGGGGTTGGTCCTGCAACGGTGTCTCGTGCGGAGCAGTGGTGTGCTGTCGCGCGAGGGTTGCAGGCGTGAGGGTCGAGGGTACCTTTTCCCCCCTTTGCTATTAACAATGCTTTGGAATCTATGAACATGACCTCGAGTGGAGCCCCAGTCCTCGACAGGCTCGACACCATCCCCCCGGCCCCCACCACCGGTCCGCCACCCACACCTAAATTGGGAAAAGCTCAATCACAAGCAAAGCTCAATCAAGCCGTAGCCGTGACCCGTGAGCACGTTGGAAAAACGTCTACGACAATCCAGCCCAAACTGTGTGTGTGTGAGAGAGATTTTTAGCAATACCAAAGTCCAAACAACTCTAACACTCACACGTCATTTGGGGGGGGCCTGGAGCCCTGTTCACGCTCGCGCGAGGCGTGCAGACAGGGTTGCCAGGTGAGAGCGAATGGCGCGGTTCACGCCTCGCACAACAGAGAGAGAGATGCGCTCTGCATGGTGGGACATAAAAGAGAGCGAGTACTTGGGCGAGTAGGCCGTGGCGTGCGGTCAACGCTGCCGCGCACGACTTTGCGCGCGAGGCGGCGCAGCTTGAGAACAGCGGTGGGCGAGTAGCCGCCGCCGAACGTCTCGTGGAGCAGCAGGTTGAAGTTGTTGCGCTTGACAAAGATCGCGTCGTGGTAGAAACCGCGATGCGCCTTGACGTAGCCGTGGCCGGTCTTGTGGGAGAAGGGTTGGCCGGGCTGCCCGCGCGCCTTGCAGCCCATGTTTAGGCGGCGGGCCTTCTCTTCGGTGTGGCCGAAGGCGTAGGAGTGGCCAACGGAGGCGGGCGTGCCGCCACTCGAGGCGTTGCCAACGCCCGGCGAGGAGGTCTTGAGGAGGGGCGTCCAGAGCTTGATTTCATTCACTTCATCGCACCCCCCCGGTCCCGCATGGGGTTCTGCGAGGTCACAGTCTTGTACCCCTCGTTGTCCTGCCGGGTGAGCTCTGGTTTCTCCTTGTCGCCGTGCACGACCGGCGCGTTGGCCGGGGCGCGCATCGCGTCCGCCCAGGCGGCGAGGACGCCGTCGTGGGGCCGCCGGTGGTGGGCCTTGTTGTAAAGGTAGTCGCCGAAGAAATCGACTGGCATGCCCCGCTCGAGCGCGACCCGAAGGGTGGGAAGCGCCGCGGAGAGCCAAAGGCCGAGCTTCCGCTGCAGCTCGTCCTGGAGGGTGTCGGAGGAGAGGGCGGTGGCGTACGTACCGTCGACACGGACATCGAAGGCCTTGCCGGCGAAAGGCGTTGAGGCGGAGACGAAGCGCGCGGCTTCGCGGTTGTTGACGGCGCTGTCTCCGAGGGACGGGTTGTTCTTGACACGTGCACATCCCGCGCCTTGACGAGCTCCTGGTGCGCGTACCAGTCCTTGTGATTCTTGATGGCAGCGAGCGCCCGCGGCCGCGGGTACGTGGATTTGCAAGTGCCATTGAGAATCGCGTCGGTAGCTGGAAGGGACTCGGGCTCGGGGAGCGGGACGCTCTTGGGGTAGAACTCAGTCAGGTAGCCGCCGCGGACGGTGTGGTACTTGTTTTTGTCGCGGGCGTTTGTTGTTGTGTGTGTGTGTGTCACAGGCACAGCGCAAACTGCATTGTGTGAGTTTTGGATTAGGAGATTGAGAGCCGCAGCCCTTCCCACACCTCCTCTTCCGGCGTCTCCTCGCGCGCCTTGCGCAGCGCCTTGACTGCTGCAGCGTTTGCCGACATGCCAGGGCAGCGGCAGTAGGTCTTGCTTGCCGGCGAGCAGGCAGGCCCTGCGTGCTGCGCCTCGCCCGGCTTCGCCACGTGCGCGCTGTCGCCGTGGTCCCTCGAGACCAGCGCCGCCTTGAAGCGCCGCTCGGCGCACGGCATCGAGCAAAAGTGAGCCCGTCGATAGCCAAGCCAAGCGCGCTTAGCGAAAAAAAAACAGTGCGCCGCCCTTGTGCTCCGGCCGCTGCATTCGTCAGCGCCCCGCATTACAGTCCACGCCGTCGCTTCGGCCATCGGCGATGCAGGAGCAGCTCTCGTGGCGGATGTGCGTCCGCGCCCCTGCCTGCAAGCCGATCGCACCGATCGCAGCGGCGCGCTGGCCGCACTGCCACTCCCCACACACGCCTCCTTCGGTGTGGCCCGTAGACTCTTCTGGCTCGATGCTGCAGTCAACCTCGGGATGCCCATCCCGGTGCTGCTCTACCCAGGTGCGAGTGGGTCGCGCGCAGTCTCCACACAGCGATCCCACGCCCGCCGCCTCCACACGGGCGCGAGGGCGGAGTGCGCGCGCACTCGCAATCACCTTCGGCGCGGGGTGGGCGGCGGGGCCGGCTGTGGCTGGTGGGGAGAGTCGGCGCGTGCGGCTCACCGCGATCCACCCGTCGGCACGCAGGAGTGCTGCTGCGAAGATGGCGCGCGCTCGCCGCCGCCGCACAAGCCCCTAGACGCTTTGACACGCCTCGCGCCCGGCTTCGGAGAGTGGCTGCTGACGCGTGTGGCCCTCGGGGCGCCGCGGCCGCAGGTACGTGCCGGCGAAGCAGCCAGAGCTGATGAGCGACGCGGCGAAGCAGCTCGTGCTGCTGCTCTGGGTGTGCGCTGGCCTCGTCTTCGTGATAGGCTTGATGGCGCTGGCGGCTGCGGTGAGTCCGGTCGGCAACTCGGGCTGGATCTACCTGGCCTTCGCCTTCTACCACGCCGCTGCCTTCATGCTCTGCTTCTTTCACGTCCTGCATGCCGACGTCTACGGCTTTGACGCGCGCCGCGCGCCCGCGGCCTGCGGCCCACACCTCGCACCGCCCGGACTGCGTCCGCTCCCCTCCCCTCCCCTCCCGTCAAACCCAGGTGCGACTCAACACCTTTTGGTGCGGCTACAACGGGGCCCTGGCGGTCTGCTACGTGATCGGCGCCCGCCAGAACGAGCGGTGGCGGCGTCCCACCTCCCACACCTCCCTCCCTCACCCCTCCTCGCGGTGCGCGTAGGCACCCTCGGCAACGTTTTGTGGTTTCCGTCGAAATGGGGCGAGCACCCAGAGTACGAGAACTCGGTCGGCGGGTTTGGCGGCGGGATGAACTAGCGGAGGCGGCCGCCGCTCCGACAGAGGCGCAAGGCGGCGGCTCCGCTGCGAGCGTGGCGGAGGCGGCTGCGTTGGCCGGCGGCCTCCGAAGGCCAGGGGCCACCCCTCTTCCCCACTCACTCACACTTGCGGCTTGCCTGCCACCTTCCTGCTCACCCACCCACCTTCAGTCACAGCGCCCGGATACTTGTCTGACGAGCGACGGAGCGGCGGCCGTCGAGAATCCCCAGGGGACGGGCGACCCCCGGAGGAGCACAATTCCATAGATGTAAGCGGGCACCAAAAATTCTTTCTTTCCGGAAGGCGGCAGGCCGGCGAGGGCAAGGGTGGTGGCGGGGAGGGAGGCGCTTGCTTGGTGTTGCGCTGGGTGAGCAGCGCAGTTCTAGAGCATCGAGATTTCAAAGCATCGATGGGTGAGATCGACAGCCCGCTCGTCTTCCAGTGCGCGTCGTGCCGCACGGTTATCACTGACTCGAACCAGCTCGTCTGCACCGTCGAGGCGCTCGATGCGCTCATTGTAGACGCCGTTCTCGGGGTGACCGTCAGCCCTCCTGCGGACAGCGGCTCAAACAGCGCGCTCCAGGGTTCGGAATTCCCGGCGGATTGCATCACCTGCGACGCCTGCAGTGCGCCGCTCGGATGCCAGTACTCCACTGCCCCCGCCGCAGTCCCGGCCGCGCTGGCAGAGCAGGTCGTCTGGCGTCAGCTCGCGCCTCGCTACGCGCTGCGCCGCGACGCCCTCGCCGCGTACGCGCTCGGGACGGCCGGGCTGCATCACAACCACGCGCTTGGCCTCTCGTCGGACGGATTGCAGGCCGCCCAGGCCGTCGGCGCTCCTGAGGACGCGCGGTGGCAGGAGACGCGCTGCAGCCCCGACACGGGGGCCGAGCTGGTCGCACTCGCGGCGAGGGTGAAGGCCATCGAGGCCGCCTGCATGCCGAGTGGCGGCGGCGGTGGCGGCAGCGGCGGCCGGGACGACGCGGCGCGCGCGCGCATCAAGGACTTGACGACGTCCCTCCTCGCACTAGAGGCGCGGCTACAAGCCCTGGAAGACGGGCGCGAGGACAAGCGCGCTCGCTGCGGGTAGCGACCAGTGGCTCGCGGGATGTGTTTTGTTTTTGAGAACCCTCAAACAAGCCGCATCCCGAACCGGCAGCCGCGCCACCACCCGGCACACCCGGCAAACCGGAACCGCCGGGGGGCGCACAACATAAAGCACCCTCTCGCTTCTCTCAGGCGCACTCGAGCGACGCCGTGGCCCCATGCGGGCGCCGCCGGTATCTCGGCACTATCGCGGCTCGTGCGGCACATGAGAGCACTCTCACAACAGGACCGACCACCTCCGCGCTGCGCAGCTTGGGCACGCCCAACGAGAACCTCTTCCGTAGTGCCCCCGCCGCCGCCTCTGCCGTGGCTCTCTTACGAGCACGCTCGACGAGCACGCCGCTCCTCACTCCTCCTCCACCCGACCTTCACTCCTCCTCCACCCGAACCGCCCCGCCGCCGTCGCCGAAGTCGTAGCCGTTTGGCCGGTGCGCGCCCCCTATCTGCGCCAGCCGGGCCGCCACGGCTGCGTCACTGAGCTCCTCCGCCGACTCCACCTCGCAGTGGAGGTGTGCCTCCTGCAGCACCGCGCCGACCGCACCCGTGTGCAGCAGCGCCCGCGTCCGCGTGCGCACGTCCACCTCCGCCCCGCCCACCGTCGCAAATACGTACTTTGGCCGGCGCGAGACGACGCCGCGGCGGGTGTCGACGCCCACGACCAGGAAGAAGGCCCAGTAGACGCGGCCGGAGTCGCAAGCAGCGGCGCGCAGCGCGGCGAGGCCGTCGTCTCCCTCGCCGACAATCTCGACCAAGTCGGGGTCGGCCCGCGAGTAGCTCAGCAGCAGCCAATTTTGCGGCAGCGACGTCTCACGAACGCGCATCCACCCGTCCTACCAACCAGCCGCCGCTGGAGTGAGACAGAACTCGAGCCACACACAGAGCGGGCAGATGGCCGACCTCCGCTTCGAAGGGGATGCGCAGCTCGCCGTAGACATAGTGCCTATGGACGCAACTCAAGGCGTGTCGAGGACGCGCCAGCCTCGCCTGCTCGCCGGGAGACGGCTCCGGCACGTCGGCTCCTCCGGCTCCTCCTCCGGCACCGCCGCCTCTGCCACCGCCTCAGCCGCCGCCTCTGCCGCCGGCGCTGCCGCTGCCACTGCTTGCGTCGTTGGCGCGGTCGCCCGGCCCTCGCCCCCGCCCCCGCCCGGTGGCGCCTGGGCCGCCTGCTCCGCCTCTGCCTCCTCCTCCCCGCCGCCCTCGGCAAAGTCGTAGTTGCCGTGCATGGCAAAGAGCTGCTTGAAGTGTT